GGTGGGAGGGCGAAGCCCCCCCCCCCCCCCGGTGCCATTTGTCCTCAGTTGCTGGTGGCATTTTTAACCCCCCCCACAGGCTGCAAACCCCAATGGGAGCAGCTAGAAATGGCAAAACAGCGCTGCTGGACCCAGCTGGGGTGGGAAAGCGGGGGGGGCGGTTTGGGCGACGAGATTTTATATTTTGCACCCCATGTGGGCCCTGCGCGAGAACCTGTGAGCGCGGAGCACAGCTCGTCCCCGCTCTGGCAGGTGAGCGACACGTGTCCCTCCCTCTCCCCGGGCCAGGACCGGCTCCCCCGCGATGCTCTTCAGTGCTTGTCTCTGTCCTCTCTCCAGATCTACTTTTTGCTGAGCACTGCCATAAACAACGTCGTGCTGGTCGTCCTCTTCTTTGAGGTCCTGCTCAACTGGTACAGAGGTTTCTGGCTCTACTGGAAGGTGAGCGAGCCCAGCCGGAGGCCTGCAGCATCCCTGTGTTCCCGCGGGCCCGCATCCCTGCGTCCCTGCATCCCTGTGTCCCTGCATCCCTGTATCCCGTGGCCGCTCACACGTCCCCTCCTCGCTGCGGGCGTCCCAGCATCCAGCCGGCCCGTGCGCGCTCCCACCTCTGCCACGGGTCTCCGGAAGCCCTCGCTGCTGCTTGGGAGGACAGAGAAACTGAGGCAGGGTGAGGGGACAGGGATGCGGCCCTGGGCCCAGCAGGGCTGAGCCGGGCTCTCCCAGCTGCGGCTCGATGCTGCCGTCTCCAGGGGAAGAGGAGGAAGAGGCCGCGTTTAAAAACCGGCTCTGTGGCCGCACGGTTGAAGCGTCGCGTGCTTTTATCACGGTTAACGCGGCAAAAAGCTGGACTCCTGGGCCCTGTTCTCATGCCCCTGTGCTGTCCAGGGGCTGGTGACGTCCCCTCTGGGGCTTGCCCTCCCTAGGAGAGACCAGGACCTTCCCCAGGGCCACCAGCCCCCGTGGGCAGATGCTTGGCTGCTGGACCGCTGTAGCCGATGGCTAGTAGCCCTGCTCGCCCAGTGGCCCACGACCTGCTGGATGAGCCCCCTCCAGCCCAGGCCTGACCCCCTGGGCCATGAGGCAGACCCACTGGGGGGCAAATCGACTATTTGCAGCCCCCTCTGCTGATCCCCGCTGTGGATATTGCTGGAGGAGGTTGAACCGTGGGGGAAGAAACGGCTCAGGTCATTTGGGGTCCTGCTCCTGCTCCTTTGGGTGTTTTTTTGGGGGGGGGCAGGTCCCTGTGGCTGCAGCCAGCGATTCAGACCCACCTGCCCTTTGCGCACGGTGCTGCACAACCGTGGAGTTCAGGCCCCTCTTCCTCTCCCCACAGGATGGCTGGAACATCTTCAACTTTTTCATCATGGTCTACCTGCTCATCGGGCCCCTCATCCCCCAGCTCAATGACCAGAAGATTTTCCACATCCTGAGGTGAGTGAGGGAAGGGGGCAGACTCCCCTAAAGCCTCCAGCTTCCCCGGTTTGGCCTGAACTGGCGCCTTGCTTCCCCGAGACGGGGTGCCTCTGTCCTGTCCACTGCTGTGCCAGATCCCGGATGTGCACTGAGGAGAAGTGAGGTCCCTTCTCCCTGGGCAGCCAGGGGAGTGTGGGGAAACTGAGGCATGGGGGAGGGATTTGCCCAAAGCCAGCAACGAGCCAAGGAAGCCCCACAACTTCTAAATTCCCTTGTTTGGACATGCAGCATCAGCTGTGACGCTCCTTTTCCACTGAGGCTGCAAGCCAGAGATGCTGAGGAGGATGTCCTCTCATCTCTTGCTCTTCACTGTCACTTTTTTGAGCTGGTTTGGGGAGCCCCACTGGCAGTGCAGAACCTCCCCCAAACCCTCACAGAAGAGGCAGGGAGGGAACCCAGGCGTCCTGGCTCTTTCCTCCCCCCACCATCAGCGAGGCGACGGGAGCTCTCACCTTGCCCCAGGGTGATGAGGCTGCTGCAGGTCTGCATGCTGGTCAAGGGGCTGGCGAGGATGATTCGGGTGATCTTCAAGGCCATCCCCAACCTACTCAACATCATGTTCCTGCTCTTTATCCTCATGCTGGTAAGCTGCCTGCTTCCCCAAGGAAATGCCCACCCGGCAGTGGGTGTGGGAGCAGGCAGGTGAGTGTTAGCCCAGGGCCCTCTGGGAAGCACCTTGGCCTTGGCCAATGGGATCCAGTGTTGACTGAGCTCTGGGCCCCATGACCGGTGTGCTTGGCAAAACCCTCCTCATGTCAGGCTAATCAAGGAGTATAACCACCCTCCACCTTCTCCCTTGCCCTTGTCTTGTGCTAGGGCTGCGGGTTGGAAGATGCTGAGCGTCCTTCCCGGCGTAGCCTGGCAAGGGGATGGTGGAGGTGGGACCCCACTATTGCTGTCTCTCTGCAGGTCTTCTCAATGCTTGGTGTCATCCTCTTTGGCAACATTGTCCCAGCCCACTTTGGCAACCTGGGGAAGGCCCTGTATTCGCTCTTTGTCTGCATCACACAGGATGGCTGGCTGAACATCTACCAGGCCTTCGAGTGAGTGAGCAAGCCCTGATCCCTTTGCAGGGCTCTCAGCCATCAGAGCCACTGCAAGGGGTGGACAGGAAGCCCTGGACATGGGCTCTGGGCTGGGGCAGAGCTGGGGTCCCCCCTTACCCTGGGGAAAGAGGGAGGACTGGGTGGGATGTGGGTATGTGGAGGTAAAGTGAGGGCTCCTTTTCCATGGATGCTGAGAGAGACTCCATGCTTGGACAGTTGCCAGCACCACCCCTGAACCAGATTATCCCTGTTCCCGGCAGGAAAGAAGGGCACGCTGTGAAAATAGGAGGTGCCATTTACTTCCTAATCTTCCTCACGGGCGGGACCTTCATCTGTGCCAACCTGCTGGTGGCCGTGGTGATGTCGAGTCTGGAGGAATCTTTGATCGCCCATGAAAAGGAGGAGGAGAAGGAGCGGGTGGCCAGCCTGGCTGCTCAGCCCAGCCTGGAGGTAAGCTGGCCATGGGGCCAGGTGCCCAGGGCAGGCCGGCTCTGTGGGCATCCTCAGCCAAGGATGGGGCTAGTATGGGCAGAAAACATGCATCAAAACCACCCTGGAAGGACCGCGTTTTGGTGGTTCCCTATAAAAAGATCTCCCTGGGCAGCCAAACTAGGGAGCTGTAGTCAGGGTTGCCTCCCATGCCCAATCTCTCCCTAAGGGGAGCTCCTCCACCCGACTGTCCCCATCCTGTTCTTCTCGTCTTCTCCAAGAGCAGGGAGTGTGGGAACACCCTGGGCACCACTTTGCAGTGTATGATCATTTATTTTGGAGCCTCTGTGGGATATGAGGGAAAATTTCCCCTGCTCAAAGGGAGCTTTGATCCCCCATGGGCTAGCTTGGAGGCACATCCAGCCCCAACACGATTTCTCATATGTCAGAGGGCAGGGTGGGAGTGGGGATTTGGGGTTGATGGTTGTCTCCCTCTCTGGGGGACACTGAGATGAGAGGTGTGGTTTGGGAGGAAGAAAGGTGCATTGCCAGGGGGAGACATGGTCCTTCAGGGAGCTGAGGTGTACTGAGAGGAGAAGGCTTCAGACTGTAGTTCCCATGGGGCTGTGTCCCAGGAGGAGAAACACTCTTAAGTGTTGAATTCACTGCACCTGAGGGACCAGCTGATGGAGCAAAGCTGCTGGGACCAGACAGATTGCACTTCTGTCTTACCGTCATTGGTTCATTTGTTCCTCCCCAGCCAAAAACTAGGAGAATTTTAGTAAAATGGAGGTTTCTTATGCAAAACGTCAGTGGGAAAAGGGGAGAAGGGGAAAAAGTGAATTTTTTCAAAATAGTTTGCAGCTGGCTTTAGTTGTAACTGCACTTTGCACCTGCCATCAGCATTTGAAGGCCTGGATTTTTGTCTCCATTGTGCTGGACCCCAGGCTTGGGTTAATGACAACAGAGGGAGGGCTGGTCCTTGCATGCAGCCCATCAGGTGTGTAAGGACCTCCTGGGTGGGTGCTTCCCCTGGCAAAGGTGAGCGGATGTGGCTGCATTGACGTGCTTAACCCTTTCAGCTGGTCAGCAGGGATGTTGGCATGGACTCTGAGCTCAGCCTGACACACCCGAAAGCAGTGATGTGGGACAAGGCCTCTGTGCACAACTTCCAGGAGCCGTTCACCTACAACAGCCTGGTCAACATGAGAAAGAAGGCCTTTGATGATTTCTGTCCCCTCTTGCAATCTATCCAGGAGAACCTCAGACACTACAAGGAGATCCGTGAAGAGCTCAACACGTGAGGCCAACTACAAAACTCCTTCCTCTTTGCTGGCTTGGTCATAGGCTGGATTAGGTAGAATCAGCCCATTTACACATGGCCAAGGCAAAATAACCCCCTTTCCAGGGAGATCTGTCCCAGAGAGGCTTTCTTTTCAGTTGTGGGTAGAAGCTGACAGCTGCCACCTATCTGGACAGGGAGATACCACCCTTCAGGTTCTGGCACAGCAGAGGACTTTATTGGTGGAAAGCCATGGCTATAAAGTCTGGAGAAGGCCTTTTCTGCAGGTGTTAGGTAATACAGCTCTTGTCTAGAAGGAGAAAACTGGAGAGAGGTTGTCCTCTTGGGTGAAGTCCATGGCCTTGCTGTCTGTCTGGGTGGACAGTGGTCAGAGACATAATTTCTGCTAGGAAACCTAAGACTACCTCGAGTCTTCCATTGGGTGAAACCACCCACCAGCCTCCATGCGTGGTGGTCATTTTGGACACTTCTCCATTGATGGAGACCTCCCAGCTCCTGTCATGCACCTGCCCATGGGTACCAGCCTTTCTCTTCTGTCGCTGAGCTGATTTCACATCTCCATCGCCACCACCCCACGTGATTCATGGGACGTGGCCACTCTATAGAGGAAAGCTGTAGGCTGGAGGGTGGTGGAGCAGAGCTTCTGGGCTAGCAGATCTTGGGGGCTGTAGCATGAACAGGAAAAGCAAGAGATGCCCCCTCTTCTCATGGTAGCATTTCAAAGGGCAGATCCCTCCAGCCAAGGGAAAGCCTTTTCTCCCATGAATTTCAGTGAGGTCAGGCTTCAGTCGTCTGCTGGCTGCAGCATCACTTGTGTCCGCACTGTAGGCTCAAACATGCTTCACACACATCCGCCAGCCACATGAGAGTGGCCACAGCACAGGCTGAGCACTACTGTTGGTAGCTGAGCAACATCTGGTTGCCTGGGCAGTAGCACGCTTCGTCCTTCAGACTTCACCAACGAATCCTTCACCCTGGGCTAAGACTCAGAGCATCCTGGTGCTGTCCTCTTCCCAGCTTGGCCTAGGCTGGCTTCTTGTCAAGCTGGCTGCGATGCTCTCGTACCTCCTTCCTGGGGAGGGCTGGCTTGCAGGGAAGAGAGAGTTGGATGGTGGGACTGACGAGTGATGGGCTCGCTGATAGGTGATGGGCTGTGGCAGAGGCAGAAGGTGGACGTAGTCATTGGGGGAAGCTCGCTGCTAATTCCTCCCTTGGTTGTGCCTCCCAGGATAGTCGAGGAGGTGAGGTCCATTGAATTCAACCACGCACAAGAGCAAGACCTGATTCTGCGGAACCTCCTGAATAGCTTGGATAACCCTCAGTCCAGCCATCGGTGAGGTGTGGGGACGTGCTCTCCACTCTTGTCACACTGGGGGAGGTAGGGGCTAGGTCTGCCATCCGCAGCCCGCCGAGGCTGGGCCCTCCGTGCTCTCGACCAGCACCACACCAGCCCTGTCCCTGGACAGAGGCATCACTCCACTGAAGGCAGCCAAAGGCAGTGGGACGACACTCATTTATCCACCCCGTAAGGCACTGCATCGTCTCTGTGTGCTGAAACGGAGACAGCAGTTGCCTTCTCCCTGTAGGTGAGAGAAAAAGGTCTGTTGTGGACTGAGCTGCCAAGCGCAGCTGAGCTCCTGGCTTTCAGACACAGCACCCAGCTGGGCCCGCAGGGTTTACTGCTCATGCTGAGTTGCGCTACGAGGCTTTTCATTTGGCCTCAACCCTCCTGGCCCTGCTTGAGAGCTAGGGGAAGTGAGGCATGGCTCAGTGCTGAGGTTGTAGGAAGGGGAAAAGTTTTTGCACAGTTACAGGCAAAAATTTGTCCTGAGTCAGGGGCCACTGGCAAATTTTTGGGTGTCTCCCAAACTAAGTTAGGACCTGGAAGCCCAGCTTGACTGGGACCTGATGCCTGTCTCTGTGTCCCCTCGCTGGACACCTTGCACATCAGAAGCCGTGGTGCTGGCATGTGTGAGTGTCTGTCCGTGTGTGTCTTCCAGGGGGTCTCTTTACAGCAAACTCCATCTCCACACCCAAACGCCCCTCGTCCCCAGCCTGGATGTGGCACCGTCTCACGCTAGAGTAGGGCAAACTGGAAGGGGACCAAGGCCTCAGCAGGATTAAATTGTGGCTCAGCCCTGTGGCTGTGGAGACCTTGTACTGGTCCCAGTAGGTCCCTGAGCTCCCCTCACCCAGAGATTTGCCACTGCCTTAGTGCTTTCTGCCATCGCTGCATCCCAAAATACTCCAGCAGCCAAAGTGGGCATCTTTCACACGGCCCTCCTTTCTCCCTTCCCTTCTCCAGGCAAACGTGATTGACCCCGAGGACATGCAGGACAGGCTGTGCCGCAAAGGGGCCGTGAAGACGGGCTGGCTGAGAGCCCCACGCCAGGTGTACCAGCCTGCACCCTTCCCGCCGTAGCCACCCCGAGCCGCTGGGGAGCACGGTGCAGACCTGTCCCCAGCCCAGAGCGCACAGCCCGGAGGACAGGACGTGACGGTGTAGGAAAGGAGAAGAGGTGCCCAGCTCCAAGGGCAGCATGTCCTTCTGTCCCAGGCCCCCCGTGTGAGATGCCAGGATGGATGGAGGATGCAGAACGGCACCAGGGCAGGTTGGGCTTTTGCTTGCAGAGGGGCACAATCCCCTTTCCGGCAGCAGGCAATGACGTAGCGACCTGTGTCCCAGAGGAGGCTGGGAGAGGATCAGAGAAGGCAAATCCATCGCCCTGTCCTGAGAGATGTCCCTGGCTGCTGAGCCTTTCTCCAGGACAGCCTGGCTGGACACTGCAAGCTCCCTCCCTGCTGGGACGTAGCGGGGCGATTAGGGTGAAAACGTAGAGCTTTGGGATCTTGGGGCCAAACCCTCTCATGCCCGAGTCGCTCTCGAGCCCGCTGCCCGTCGCGCAGCTCCGTCCCTGGCTGCGGAGGGCGTTTGCTGCCAGACAGGATTTGAGTAGAGGGCTCCGAACTGTTTTTCTCCCAAACGGATGCAAACCCCAGCTGGCCCTGACAGTAACCCTGCAGTTCTCCACAACCTACCGGACATCAGATAAATTTGGGTGTGTGTGTGTTGGGGGAGGGGGGTGTATTATTTGGGGAGGGGGGGAGCTGCAGCCCACAGGCTGCAGCTGTGGGGGTTTCCTTGCCAAAAAATAAACCCGAATCCCAGTCGCGGTTGCAGTCACAGTCGCCGTCCCAGTAATCACCAGCAAGGCCCCGGCCCCAGCCCGGAGGGGGTCCAATCTGCCCCGCCACCGCCA